AACACATTTTGTTGGCATGCTCTGAACTTGCATCTGGCCTAAACAGCCATGGAGACTGAAGTTAACTCCCCGCCCCTTATTAAAAGGATGATGGTATGTGTAAATTGGTTGTTTTGGCACACGGGGATTATACATTTACGATGAATTTAAAAGTTAAATCATCATCCAGGCCCTAGAATCAAAATATTGAAAATATGAAAGTTGCTTGATAGGAGTTTGATTGTGGAAATGCCAGATCCCTGTCTCTTGAGTTGCAGGTAAGAGGCATAAAAGTACTCACAAAGTATCTTGTATGTCTGTGGAATCCATGATTACTCTATTTTTTAGAGGGATGAGAAGAATAAAGAGTAAAGAACTCTTTACTATTCTTTTTGGAATTTATAAAGCTTTTGGTTGTCCTCTTTTCCTCAAAGAAGGTAACACTGGAAATTAAAAAAAAAAATCAAATTCAAGATAGTATTTTTGTTTTTTTAAGTGGAAGAAGGAAAGAGAAAAACCATAGGCAACTCAAAAACATGTACTAGGTTAGGCAACATGTTGGGTGGAAGGTACTATACGTCAACTCCTTTAGGAATCCTTACTTTGTCTGCAGTGCATCCTATTTTAGCAACCTAATATCAGATGCTTTGTTGTTTGAAAGGAACCGTAATAGACTTGAGAACTTTTGATGGCCTGCTTTATGACTTGCTAGACAATTGATACTTTAATGATGTTGTATATGTTGAGCACGAATCCCCACCTATAATTGAATATGCCTTGAAAAACTTGTCAGACTTTAATTTTGGGGGAGCCTATTCCTTCTGCTGAAATAATTAATACCTGAGATTCTTTATTTATAATTGTGGAATATAGAATTTTGCTTCCTTCTATTTTTGTCTACAAAATGTGTTCTTTCAGTGAACATGGGAATATTTTGCTAGTAAATTCAAGTAATAAACATTGAAGACTACAGCCTGACATATTTTAGAAATATTTTTCCGTTTAATTGGTTCAGAAGATTAGAATTCTCTGTAAATTGAGTATGAATAAACAGGACTTGTCTGTATTAGGGTTGCTTGATGTTTTATTTTTTTTTTCCTAATACTTGCTGTCATTACCACATATAAGCCAGAAGTGGTTATGTATGCATCTTTTTTTGTCTTGTTATAAATTACGACAGTTCATCATTAGATTTATGATCAATCCGTTGGCTTACAAAAATTCACTCTGGTAGAATCATTTCCTTTTGAGATTGCCTAATCCTAAACTTGGAAGTTCTGTTTGAAGTTGCTTTGTGGCAGCAACATTCCAGAGCTTTGTTGGTTCAGACTGGCTGTTTGAAAGAATCTTCAAGTTGAGTCTTCCTGGTTATGGAAAGAATTGTATACACATAAAAATCAATGTATTCTCACTCCTAAATTGACCCTATAATGAAACATTTCCCTCACTTTAAGGCTTTGCCTTGAGGAGAATTCATTAAACAGCAGCATAGAGAGATTTTCTCTCTGAATTTGGCACGTTGCTGTTGCTATTTTGTCTGTAGGTTTGTTTTCATTACTGTTTGGTATTTTAAATGTTGAAACAATGCTTTAAAATTTATTTGCAATGAAAATACTCTTTTTAACCCTATAGGAGTTGGAACTTCAGATTACCTTTTTTTTTAGTTGGAAGAGGATGTAGGAAGGGAGTGTTGGTAAACTCTTAAGGAAAAATATGTGCTCTTAATAAATATACCCCCATTGATGTGAGTGAATTGTTCATTGTTTGTTTGAAAGCCCTAAAGATGGAGTACCTTTCCAAAACCACTAGAGGTCCTCAGTTGGCTGTGAATATACTGAAGTGTTGCTATATATCCAGACGTCATTTTTATGTGTTCATTTGCTAAAACATGCTTCAAAATTAGGTAGGGTAAGAACATTCATACATGGTTTCTGGAAATGTACAAAGAGACTACATCTTATCTGATTTATGTCACTGTAATTTAGAAGGATTATTTTCTTGATTCCCAACCGTCAGGTTTATTCCTTTGCCAGTATGATCAGCACTGTGTTAATTCACAGTTTAGATGAAAGTTAGTGATTTTCATAGGATGAATAATAAAGCAAGATTCCTCTATTCAAGTACCTCAAAACAAATGGGATTGGATATTTAAAGGGTAGGACAAGGAAGAGAGAAATGAAATGAAGGAATTCTTAGGATTTAATATGTGGAACTGGAATAAAATACCACAGTGGGTTTTTTGTGAAAAGTTTTGAGGAGATATTAACCTAGATTTTGGGTGTCAAGGCTAAATGGAGTGAGGCATGAGTATTTTAACAATGAAACAAATAAAAGGAAACTTCAGTTTTATTGATTGTGGTATGTTATTGTTTTTTAAAGTCTGTATGATTACTTTGAGTTTTGCCTTTCAGAATGTATTGCTTAATAAGGACATCTGTAACTTATCTTCTTGGTATTGAAAGTGATTAGAATATCACTTAGGCTATTAAGGATATAATGCTTGATGTCTCAATTAACTTCACATGAAATGGCATGGTTTTAAATTAAAATAGAAGTTTGTAGTCTCTAAATTTGCCTTGTGGAGCGCCATTTACAGTATATGAGGATTTTTAATTTATTTTGGTTTTCCAATGTCCTGATTTATTTTTAAGCCATGTTGATCAGTATATAGGATGTCCATGTGGTTTAGAGCCATAAAACCTAGTCTCTTGCCAAGGTTTCCCTATTTTCTAGCTCTGTGACCTTGGGCAGCATTTGACCTTTTTCTATCTGTTTCCCAAATTGTGAAATTGAGATGCAGTATCAAACATATAGGGAATTAAGGGGATGAAATGAAATATTTGTGTATACAGTACATTTAGAAAATTGTTCTTCAAGAATAAAGAATGGAGTTTTAATTTACCCTCCTTATTTCTAGGATTGGAAATAAATATACTCTCTAATTTAGAGAGGTAATTTATAATTTTTCAATAAAAATTTTAATATGTTACATAATTCATACATTACATAATATATTTTAAATACATTAAAATTTTATTCTTGAATTATTTTATTTATGCAAAATTCTGTCTTTACTTAATGAGTGAGATTAAGAAACAATATGTATTAATATATAGCCCAGATGCAATTATTTTCCTTATGTCTACTAAAGTACTATTAAAATAGTTCTGATGTTTGAGTTTTAGGAAATGACAGTGATGTGATTTCTTAGTAAAGCAAGTACTCTTTCATATGTTTTTAAAACCTAATGTTTCATGATTTAAACATCTTTCACATTTCTTCCATTTGACTTCATGTAACACTTTTTTGAACACTTAGTTTTAAACTGTGTCTTTATAAAGAAAGACAATATTTAAATGTCACTTTAAGGGAGAGATGAACTAGTTGGGACATAACATCTGGCACTATGGCATTTTTTTGAAATTTGAACAACAGTCACTGTAGCTGTGTAATTTCTATTAATCTGGACATACTAGTTAGCTAAGGATAACTTTAATAGCAGAATTTCTTCTCTTTTTAGAAGTTGTATACTTTTTGGAGCAGTAAGTGATGTGGTGAGATTCTGGTACAGAGAAACAACTCATGAACACTCTATTTGAAGCGTGAGAATGTAATTGGATAGATATTTCAATAAAAATGCACAAATATGCATATAAAACATCTGTGCTGAATGACTTATATAATATCAAAAGGAAAAATATTTTATGAGTATAAAGATGTTTAGAGGCAGTTACAGTGCTTCAGTGGTAGATAAAAATTAGAAATGTTTTCATATGTCTAAAGGAAAGCCGCTTATGGAATTACAAAGTTATTATTTATGGTGAGCAGTAGAGTTAACATCTGTCATAGCAATTGAGAATTTTAGAGGTAAATTTTATTTTAGCATACATATAAAATACAAAAATTAAAATAAGGAAATAAAGTCTATGTAATTTTCTTTATGCCTTGACAGAGATTTAAGAATGAAGAAACATTTCATTTATTAAATTGAGGATTGTAATATAAAGAATATAGTAGAATTCACATAAGAAGTCATAAAATTTATTGCCAGTCTCCATCCCTGGGCATTTTTTTTTTTTCCTTTTTTTTTTTTTTTTTTTTTTTTTTCATTCTAAATTCAGGAGAAGAAACTGAGTACACCAGAGGATAGTAACTTTCCAAAGGTATATTCCTTAATAGGCAGAATAAACATTCATTTTATTAAATTTGCTCAAAAGAGATATTTAGAAATGTTCATGTGCCAAAGTATGTCTTTTTTTAAGTGTCAAATTATTATTCTGTAACATTAAACTTTTATATGTATTTATGACAAGTGTTTTAAAATTTCCAAACTTTATGTTGTAGCATTCAATTTAATATAAGCAACTAAATTTATTAAAAGCATAGAATTTTTAGAAGTGTTTGTTAAAAGTTGATTGGATTTTATAAACAGGAAAAATCCTCAAGAGCATTTAAAAAGTAGCTTGTATTATATATTCTTAAATTCCATTTTATTAATATTCACTGTAAGGAATCATCATAGTGATAATGTTGGAATAGGTATGCTGATAATGTACATGATGTAGTCACTCAACTATTCATGTTATTCCATATGTAAATATACAGTCCACTCCTGCACTCTTTCTTAGCAGAGTAATAAATAACAAAATTGTCTTTGTTTTTACATGGAGAAATTAAACCACCACTACCACCAAATATGGCAACATAATTGAAAGATTTTTTTAATTGGCAGAAATTCACATTTGAAAAGCAAAATAAAAGTGAAAGTTAAATTAAAATGACAAACCAATAACCAGGATTAAAGATGAATATGACCCTTTTCATTTCAATGTTAAGTCTCATTCTTACAGTCATTAAACAGATAAGCATTTATGTAAAAATTAAGCATTTTGTCATATTAAACATTTTACTGTCTAACTTTGAACTGAAATTTACAAAGTATAATTAACTCTTTTAAAAGTTTCATAAATTTGAATGATAGAAAGTAAGAATTACCAAAATCAGAGAAATCTATTTCTTACCTTAGCTTCTGTGATCATCACAATATAGAGTATCGTGTTGTATGAAGTCTATGGGCGTTTAGCTGGGAAGTTTTCTGACTCTTGTTACCAGGTTTATGGGAACAGTTGCAGTAGATGGAGGAGAAAAAGTGTTCTAGGGAGGTCCTATGATGTCACACAGGAATTCAGATGTTATGATTGGTTAGTCATAGTCTTAGTCTTATCACAACCAAACTTTAGAACTTCATTTATCTTACTTTTGGTATGGAAAGGTCATTAACACTTTGTGCTTCATTTTTTGTTTTTAATTTTAAAAAGTATGTGGCAGATAAATGAAAAAAGTAAATATGGAGCGGTAGAAAGCTCTCGTTAAAGATTCACGCATCTTCAGGCTTAAAGATAATTGTATATTATGATGATGAAGAGCTAAAATAATTATAATAGAAATTTTAATAGAATGAGAATAATAATACTGGTGTAAGTGAAACAACTGTCATTGAATGGTGCTGCTGTTACTTTAATACTGCAGCTTCTTCATGTTGGTTTCTAGCAAGACAATAATTAAACATTTTCACAGAATCAAATTTTATACGTTTTCCCTTCTTATTTTGTTCTCATTTCTCATATCTATGTGTGTATGAGGGAAGGAGTGTGTATGAGAAAACCAGGCTAATAACTGCATTTGGTTTTAAAAAATCAGCTTTATCTTCTAAAGTAAGAACTAATAAATGTATTTAATTCATTTATGTTTTCTTCAATTATCAGTTTAACAATATATTTGTGAATTGTAATTCCCATATTTAAACTGATATATATCACTGCAAGAAAAATAGCAATATATAAATTGAAGTATTTAAGGTTTAACAGCTGCATTAAGTTATCACGAAATCTTACTAATTATTTAATAAGCTGACATAGTATCAAGGACAACTTTCTAGCAAAAAGAAATAATTGTAGATTACTAATCAGTTGTATCTTAGTTAATGAGGCTTTATTGACATAGGTTAGCATGTGTTGAAATTTAAATTGTATGGTGTTCCTAAAGGGATGTACTTCATTTAATCCAGCAGATGCTTCCCTGAAAATTACTATATAAATGATATTTAAGTAAGTGGGATGATATTTTGAACTTCTTAGACCAATTTGTCTTATAGTAGAACTAGAAAAAGAATCATTTCGAAAAGCCAGGCATCATTCTCCTGTTTTCTATTTTTCTAATTTGTTGTTTTATATATTAAATTTACTTAAATTGTCACAGTTGCAAATTTTAATTCTTAAATATTTAATTTTGGAGGAGCTATTTGTAAGTTTTAGTTTTTTAAATGCTTATATAAGACTGAACTAGGCCCATTTCACTTTCTTATGGGTAACTAAAATGTGTAGCAGCAGCTGCTTATGTGTCCTTAAATGGAGATGATCGTGGCTCCTTCCAAAGAAAGATAAAATCCTCTCAAGCAAATCTTTCGTTATTAAAAGAATCAGCTAAAACTAACTGAAAAACAGTATTTCAGCAAAGACCCTCTGTGAACATTGCTGAGGGAAAATTTATAACTTAAAAGTAAACCCAAAATTAAGGAAATTGCATGAATAATGTTTTATACTTTGCTCAGTGCTCTACAACCATTTTTCTTCCAATCCTTACATAATGAGAATCTCTTACGATTATCAGTTGCCAGTGATGACTAACAATATGAAACCTAGAAATCTAAAGAGGTTTACAGTTATTTGTCAAAGAACACAGCTGCTAAAGGACAGACTGAGGCTTCCATTCCAGATCTATTTAGTTATAATTTCTGATATATTGGCCTATTGTGGGGAAAAATCATAATTTGGATATACCTTTCATAGAGTAGCATATATTAACTAAGAAATTTTAAAGATGGAAATAGAAGAATTATTGAAGACTTACTATTTTTAGAAAGTCTGCATTAATTTTGTCTGCCGGTTACACATTCATTTGAAAATGAAGTTTACGGGATATAGGTCATCGTTCTAAGAACTTTTTGTTCTAAGAAAATAGAATTAGTGATACTTAGTTGGATAAACTAGAAACTGCTATAGTTTAAAATATATAAAAGAAAATATTCCCTAGTTTTATCTAATATGTTTACAAGTTTACTTAACAAGCTGGCCTTCCAACTTTTGTCTGCCTCGTTCTGAAATTTACATAGTATATCATTTGTCATCCATGCTGTCCCACAAATATATTTATGGCATATTTATGTTACTTCTATTTGAATTTCTATGATTTCCCATGTGGTTTTTCTGTTTAATATTAGGGCAGTAGAGCCAGTTAACATTTAGGGAGTTGCCTATTTTCATCTTGAGGTGGCGAGTATGGGAATGCGGAATTTTTATACACATTACAAATGTTTGGCACAGTACTTTTTGTGCATTGTGGCTTCACAAGGGCTGGTGTTAAAACTGCTTCCATGTCTAAGCACAGAATACTGCCTACATATCAGTTTGTCCTGGTGGGGAATAAAAGGGATAATTGGTTCTAGTCACAGGTATAGTTACTGTGGGTGCTTTAAGGTTTGCAGCACTTACAAGGCTGTGGCAGAAACAGATATTTCATGGATACCACGTGTTAAACCATGTATATCTGTGGAATACTCAATCTCAATGTGCTTAACATTTGACTACAACTGTAGAAGTGTTCGTTTAGTCAAAGTTGTGACCCAGTTTACTCTGGATAAAGGCAGAAATGGTTCACATTCCATTATTTGTAAAGTTATGGTTTGCTTTCATTTTTTTTTTTTGCTACACTCTTTTTATTTGTATTTAAATATTTTAGGCATCCTAAGAACAAGTGTAAAAGTGAAGATGCAGTACAAATGAATTACTTGATACCTAATATCAAGTATAGATATATCAAGCAGATCAGTAAAACACAAATAAAAAACCCCATGTATTTAACTTTTTTTAGGGTTTTTGCTTTTGTGATTTTTTTTTTTTAATACTTGCCTAATGTGCATGTAATGTGAAAATAGTTATCAGGGAAATAACTTGAGATGATGGCTAGCTCTGTTTATTGCCTTAGGAAAATTTTATGAACACTACAACCATAATTGTTAAGAACATGTATTGAGTTTATGTAAGTGGAATAAAAGTTTTATGAATGGGGGAAAAAACATACATAGGCATATACACACCTCAGAAGGATACAAACAACTGTGACATAGTTGGAAAATGAAGTCAGAAATTTACCTTTTGGATTTGTACAAGGGTTGGGGACGTTCTATGTTCACGCTTTTCCTTTGGGGTAGCTGCTGCTACTATTATCCTAATGATTATTCCATATAGAACTCCAGGAAGTGTTGCATTTTATTATAGTTTTAACCTGATTGTTGAAACAAAAAGTTGTTGAATAAGAACATTCATGAGTTACAATATAATTAGTAGAGTGTTCCTAAATAATTCCTCACCTAGAAGCTGGAAAAGTTTTTAGAGGTGCTTTGTCAGAATCTTATTTGGAGTCATACTATAGTTTGAATCCATTTTTGACCATGTGACCTTATTCAAATAACTTCCCTAAACTGCCTAATCTGTGGAATGGTATTCTGAGTGTTTAATGACATGAAATATGTGTAGTGATTATCAGGGATGCTGCAACACAGTGTCCATTTAGTGTTGTTGTTTTTTTTTTAACTGATATTTATTGGTTTTTGCACATTTTTTAAATTTCAGAATATTATGAGGGCACAAATGTTTAGGTTACATATATTGCCTTTGCCCTGCCTGAGTCACAGCTACAAGTGTGCCCATCCCCCAAACAGTGTGCACCACACCCATTAAGTATGAATATACCCATCCCCTCTTCCCCCCTCCCACCTGCCTGCCACCCGAAGAATGTTACTACCATGTGTGCATGTAAGTGTTGATCAATTAGTACCAATTTGATGGTGAGTACACGTGGTGCTTGTTTTTCCATTCTTGTGATACTTCACTTAGTAGAATGGGCTGTAGCTCCATCCAGGATAGTAAGTCTATTTAGTGTTAGTACTTATTTTCTCTTTTCCTTTAGAAGATGGATTCTTAACCTACCATCCATGGGTAGAGTTCATGGGTCTTTGAACTTGGATAGGAAAACAATTACATCTTTATTTTTACTAAGCTCTAAATGAAATTTAGTATTTCTTCAGTTTTGACTGAATTTGGGATTTGTTTCTTTGTTTTTCTTTTTATAATTTCGTGGCATTTTAAAATGTGTTCCTCAAAAGTATTTTTTATTAACTTTATGTAAAGGATATCATGAGGTATATAATCTTTTACATTGAGTATTTAAACTCCAATTTTTAGTGGTATGTCAGGGGCAAAGATTTTCTGGAAACCTTTTTTGACAAAAAGTTAATTTAAGTGGTGACTAAATTAAAGTATTTTAATATTTAGACATGTATAGTAAAATGTAAGCTTTGAATTTTTTTTTTTTTTTTTTTGAGACAGAGTCTCTCTCTGTTATCCTGGATAGAGTACAGTGGCATAATCATAGCTCACTGCAACCTGAAACTCCTGGTCTCAAGCAATCCTCCTGCCTCAGCCTCCCGAGTAGCTGGGACTACAAACACGTGGCACCACACTTGGCTAACTTTTCTGTTTTATTATAGTAGAGATGGGGTCTTACTCTTGCTCAGGCTGGTCTTGAACCTCTGAGCTCCAGCAGTCCTCCCACCTTGGCCTCCCAGAGTGCTAGGATTACAGGTGTGAGCCATTGCACCTGGCCTTGAATGAATTTTTGTGATACAATATTTCAAAGATAGGGAGGCTTTTTTTTTTTTAAAGGTTAGCCTTCCTAGACACCCAGGAGGAGCATTCATTTTACCTAAGTCTTGAAGGTGCTTCAGGGTTTGACAATTACTGCCTTAAATTTTAAACCTACCTAAGGAAAGATTAGTTGAATAAACATCTAAGCAAAAATGAGAATGAGAAGTGGTCTGAGACTGAGAGGATGGGAATTCGCTCTCTAGGGCAATCAGGAAGAGAAAAATAGGAGTTATTCATCAATACTAAAGTAACCTGTAAACCTTAAGTTCTTTTGGGGGGAGATAGGTTCACTTTTAGAGCTGATTTTCCAGTTACCTTAAG